GAATGTGGCCAGGACAGCTGGATTAACGTCCATATTCATGTGGAAAGGAGCATGAGAACTTTAACAATTGCAAGGTCAGGAACTCCGGTTTACTTCTCATCCGAAGAGCAGCATCTCCAACAGCACAGAGCCTCCTAATTTCATACAATTACTGTTTCGGAAAGGAGAGCACCTACTACTGAATCACCAACACCACTGCAACACCCAGGATTTTTTCTGGCAGTCTCTGATCCTAGTAGAGGGAGGCAATATGGTCTGGTGAATAGGGCACGTGGCTGGGAGTTAGGAAATCTCAGTTCTTTTCCTGGCTCTCCTCTTCACCTGCTGTGTGACATTGGACTTCAACTCTCCCATTCTCAGTTTCCCTGTCTGTAAAAATGTACCTGCATTGATACTTACATTCCCTTATAAAGTGCTTTGAGATCTACACGTGAAGAGAGCTAAACAGTAGTAATAATGACCAGGTTTGAACCTATTAGTTTGTGGGAAGTGATGAGCTCATAACCTAAGATACTATATGGCAGCAGAAATAGGACTGAATATTTAGAGAGTAAAAGCAAATTGCTCCTCAGTGTCTGGCTTTTTGGGCTATTACACCAAGACACATGAATTGTCTGTGCATCCCATTTAGGAGCTCTCTAAAAATAGACAATGACCACTGGCACTCCCAAGTCAGTTTGTAGACAGGCAGCTCTAATGCACATTTCCATTTCTTTTTGATTCCTGTAGGACCCCTTGCCTGACATTCACAAATTAAGCACAACCTTGGTCATACATTTCATCTGAGACACAGCTCATCTGCAGATAATGTATCCCCATTCATCTTTTGTACTGTTCTATTGTAAATGAGGGGAAGAAAAAAATCTCAGGACTTACATTTCGCTTCAACTTACCTTCTTCCTGGAGGAGAAGATATTAAATGCCAAAATAACAAAAGACATTATAAAACCATCTGTTAGTCGAAGTTATTTGGCAAGTTTGGAATGGTTTAATTAATCTCTCCTGGCTCAGTAAAGATTCCTGTGCTGTATTTATATTTCCCAAGGATTTAAAGTTTCTCGGGGCGAGGGGAAAGTTGGAAGCCCATGCTGTCACATAGGTGTGGCAGTTTGGCCAGTTAATCCACTATCAGTGCAGTCTCCATACAACTAATGAAAGCGTTACATGCAAATTAGCTGTAGAGTAAGGATGGTAATTGGCTTGGATATCACAGTGCTCTAGGACTGATAGTAGGGTGTAGATATATGCCTTGCTGAAGCTGGATGCAGCACAGGTGTGATTAGTACAGCCAAAATGGCTGAGAACTTAAAAATTGGATAATAACAGACTGAGTATCCTAGAAATGATTGAACTTTGTGATATTCTAAACAAAAAGAGGTCTCAGCCATGCTTGTAGCTGTTTGCATATTTCACCTTCGTCCTAGGCTTCAGAGTGACAATCCTTGAATTTGAGAGAGAGATGTATATATATTACACACAGAAACCCATGTTAAAAGAATATTACTAAGGTTAAGTCAAGCACTCACAAATAAGATTGTATATGCAACCTTCAGTCTTCCCCTTTGAGCTTTTAAATGCATGACCACATACTATTTTTTTCCACCGGAGCCCTGCCTCATTCAGTGCACAGGATGAGGGTGCTCACAGGGCCGGCTCCAGTGTTTTTGCCGCCCCAAGTGGTGGTGGTGGGGGGAGCCGCGATATGGCGGCAGCTCTACCGCCGCCGCTTCATTTTTCAGCGGCAGGTCCTTCCCTCTGAGAGGGACTGAGGGACCCGCCGCCAAAGAGCCGGACGTGCCGTCCCTTTCCGTTGGCCGCCCCAAGCACCTGCTTGCTGCACTGGTGCCTGGAGCCGGCCCTGGGCGCTCACTTAATGAATAGCTGTTCAATATTTTGTTTTCTCATTGTTCAATGTGTGACCCTAGCAGTTGTTTACTGGACCCTGTTCAAACTCTGCTCTGAAGACAGAATTATTAATTTCCCCATGTTTTTTCTATGGCACTTATCACTGTGTAATATCGAGTGCTTCACAAACATTAGTCAGTTGAGAGGTAGTGTGATCCTTCTGTGAGGATCAGCCGGAGTTGAACCAGGAAATCAGGGCTACCAGGCAGCTGAATCCCCACATTGCTGTTTGACAGCAGTGTAACCTGGCCACTCCCTGCAACTCTCAGTCTACAGAGGTTCAATGCCATGACAAGGTTCACCTCGAGTGATCTGCCTGACAGGGTCTTAGTGAGCCCTGATTGGCTCCTTGTCCCTATAGAAGCCCAGGGGGCATACCAGGAAGTGTCCAGGCAACAATGCAGATCCCTAGCTACCTGCCATGACCACCCTGCTTCTCTGTTCCTGAACGCTTGGTACTGACCTTGGCTCTGATTTGGATTCTGACTTCCATTTGACCCCCTGGAACCTCAAAATGAACCTTGATATGTGGTATTGACCATCAGCCTGATTCCTGACTGTCGCTCTGACTCTCAGCTTGACCTGACCCTCATACTGGCTCTGACCCTAGCTTCAGTTCTGGGATCTCAAGCTCCTGCCACTAGTCCTGCCTCCCTGCGCCCAGAATCCTGACACCTTGGATGTATAAACAGGAATATTGAGTAGGAGCAAGGAGATTATATTACCTCTGTATTTGACACTGGTTGACTGCTACTGGAATACTCTGTCCAGTTCTGGTGTCCACAGTTCAAGGATGTTGATAAATTGGAAAGCGTTCAGAGAGGAGCACAAGAATGATTAAAGGATTGGAAAACATTCCTTATAGTGATAGACTTCAGGCGCTCCATCTATTTAATTTAACAAAGATAAGGTTACTTGATCACGGTCTGTAAGTACCTACTTTTGGAACAAAACTTTGATAATGGGCTCTTCAGTCTAGCAGACAAAGGTATTACAAGATCCTATGGCTGGAAGTTGATCATAGATAAATTCAGACGAGAAATAAGGTGCAAAGTTTTAACAGTGAGGGTAATTAACTTTGCAACAGTTTTTTGTTGATTTCAAAATTACTTGTGAATCTAAGATTGGATGTTTTGCTAAAAATATGCCCTAATTCAATCAAAAATTAATTCATGGAAATCCTATGGCCTGTGTAATGGAGGAGATCAGATTAGATCTATGAATTATCCAAAAAAAAAACCTTGTGAGATTAGGAAGTGGTACTAGCCCCATTTTATGATGGGGACCTGAGAGACAGAAATTAAGGCCAAAAGTTTCCACTAATTTTGGGGGCCCAATTTGAGACCCCCAGGATCGGATTTTTCAGAGTATTTGGCATTAAATATCATTTGATATATTCAGAGTACAGATCCCATTGACTTACAGCTGTCAGTGCTCAACACTCTGCAAACCAGACCCTGGGGTCTCAAGTTGGGGACCCAGAAAATGAGAAACAAACAATTAGTAATCACCTGTGAAAAGTTTAAGTGACTTGCCCAGTATCACATAGGAATCTCTGTCCGAGGCAAGATAGAATCTAGTTCTCCAGAGCAGCATTCAACTGCCTTAACCATGAGACCCTCCTTTCTCTCCATACCTCATTCACTGCACACCTTCCATCTTCTGCTTCATTTGTCGCAGGGACAACAGCCTCCTTTACTACACAACTCTGGCACATCCCCAAAGCAGGTCCATCCTGTGCACTGAATGAGGCAGGGGTCCTGTGAAAAAAATAGTATGTGATCCTGTAATTACAGACTGTCTCATAATGTCCATGCACAAGAGGCCAGATTAAGATTTCTCATGCAAACTTGATTCTGGTCTTTCTTAATGGCTGAAGTGCTTAACTTTGCAACCTTAAAAATGTTCTTTTTAATATATTTTTTTCTGTATAGTTTCGTAGGCTTTTTAAAAAGCAAACTGGAAAAACAAAAAATCCATCATGTGGCATCATATTGATGCCCACGAGTCATCAGTGGGATTGAAACTTATAGAAACACTGCACAGGCTTCTGCCAATGGAACTGAGTAACTGATAGCAGTAGCAGGTTGTCATTCTTCATGAGGACCAGCCCTAGAGGGGGGTGAGACATGCACTATGCCAGAGAATTTCACAGATATTTGCTGACGGCAGAGGAATGGTGAGACTCAGGAATCTTGGGTTCTCCCCGCACTGGTTCCTAGTCCCAGATTCCTTGTCCAGCTGGTCCCAAACTCCCCCCTATAACTTGTCCCAGTTTATGTGGATTTTCACAGGGATGGCAAAAGGCACATCCCTGACACACAGGCCACAGCTCCTGCCAATTTTTCTACATGTGCTCCAAAGCGTTGGGGCTTTATAGCTTTTTAATGCAAAGGTTGCCAGAATTTTTTAACATGAGCAAACGATCATGTTTTTCCCTAAACTCATTCTCAGAAACAACTGAACCAATTTCACCAACATTTTCCCAAGAAATTCAGCCTCAGGCAGACACACCCAGCATGGAAAGTTTAGTCCAAATGATTAATATTTGGCAACATTATAAGCAACTGAAAACAGGATCATATAATGGGAAGTGTCAGGCAACCTTAATAATAGGTCCTTTCTCAATTCCGGTTATGCACGTTTTTAAATTGGAATTATCCTTTAATTCCTTACTAACTAATGTAACATATGCCTGGTCTACACTGGGGGGGGGATCAATCTAAGTTACGCAACTTCAGCTACGTGAATAACGTAGCTGAAGTCGACGTACTTAGACCTACTCACCGCGGTGTCTTCACTGCGGTAAGTCGACTGCTTCCGCTCCCCCGTCGACTCTGCCTGCACCTCTCAGCGGTGCAGTACAGGAGTCGACGAGAGAGCGCTCGTGGGTCGATTTATCATAGACCATGTTTTAACCCATGTTTTAACCCATTCTTGTTGGTAACTATAATCCTTCCATCTTCCCTCTTTAAAAAATGTCTGCAGTATAGAAAGGCACTCGTGCTCTGACTTCAGAGAAGCAGCCCTGACTCCTGCTGAGTAATTTTCTCTAATTTTCTTAACTTCTCTTTTTAATTCTTCTTTTCCAATAGCTCTGGTTTACACCCGGGTGACAGTGTCACGAAAACAGGACCTGGAGGCCTTTCAGACATGAGACAAGTGCCAACCGTTGTGATCGAATGCGATGACGATAAAGAAAATGTGCCTCATGAATCTGATTATGAAGATTCTTCCTGCCTTTACTCAAGAGAGGAAGAGGATGATGAGGAAGATGAGGATGATGATAGCTCATTATTTACAAGTAAGACTCATCCTTCCCTTCCCCCTTTTATTTTATTTTATTTTTTTATTTATCCTCACAACACAAGGGAAACACAAGCGAACTGGATATCTTAGGCCTGATTTTCCTGTCACTTACACTGGCATAAATTAGAATAAACTCCATTGACTACAACAGAGTAACAGCAGCATAAAATTGATGATTATGAGAGGACAATCAGGTGCTTTATACTTAATAAGTACAAAGTCATGTCAGAATATTTACATAGAGGTTTGTTTTTTTTAAACGTGTCGTCATCAAGTCAAGAAGGCAATGGGAATTTTACCAACAACTTCAATAGGATCAGAATGAGCCCAGTACTGAGCAGTTTTGAAACAATACTAAAGTATGGCCAGATCCGGAGACCTTGACTCAACTTTATTTAATCCTTGTTTAGGAAAAACTCCCATTTAAATCTGTGTGAATATTTGGCCCCTGAACTTTTGTCCAAGTCAGAATTGGCCCCTAAATTATTGCTGGGCATGTGCTCTTTATTTTAAATGCCACGTTTAATGGACAAGTGATAGTTTTTAAAATAGATCCTTCCAGCACTGACTGGCATGTCTGGTTTGTACAGTGTGGATTATACACGTAGAGAAAGCTCAGCATGTTCGCTAAGAACAGAATAACACAGGTACACCATTTTTTGTTAGGATCAGTATCCACTGGGGAGGAGCGGGGGGGGCAATTCTGCTCGCGTACTTACTGAACTCATTGAGTACTTATATGAGTAAGGTGGGCAGTATTTAGCTCTCTGTGTACTCTGCTCACATTTTTCTTAATTATTTAGTCCTTACTGATTTAAAAATCAAGGGCCTGAATATGACCTTGCTTACAGCGCTCTTACACCAGGGTAACCCTGCTGAATTCTGTGGAGTTACTCCTGGTTTACACCAGTATAAATGAGTTCAGAATCAGACTCCAAAACCCTAAGCTACAATAAGAAGTGTAATTACTACTAAAAACATGTACCTCATTCTCCACTACCCTGCACAGTGTAGAGTAATTTACATCTGTACAAATGCTTTCATCTCATTTGGTATCATTTTACTCCCACTCCACATGGTGCAAGGCAGCAGAGAATCAGGCCCAAAAATGACAACTCTAAGCTAAATTTGAGACCTATGGTTACAGGGTTAGCTGCACCTCTTCCCCCTTTCTGGTTGCTCTCTGAGTGCACCCCCTTCCGGTATTTGGCCTCTTGTCCATAGCTGTCTCTAGGTGAAATCTCGCAATTCTTCTACTCTTTGACCGGAACGTGGGTCCACAACCCTGTGTACAGCAACTGTATATCACCCTGAAGGTTTGAATGGGTTTCAAGCACCTGCATTTCCTCCCTTCGGGATCGTGTGACCAGCAATATTGACCAACAACCTTCTTAAAACAAAGCATTTTTATTTAGCACTTAGAAGAAAGAATTAAAGACACAAGATTTTGAAATAATAAACATCCTACATGCATATTTAGTGTCATCTAATCTTATGCTTCACTACAAGCTAAATTAGATAGGCGTTCCTCTTAAATTACAAGAACAGAACAGAGCCACCTCTCAAAGCCCTGCTCCTCCTGTGTCTGTGGGACTCTCAATCTGGTTTTCTCAGTTAGTGTATCTACACTGCAGTTGGGAGCATGCCTCCCAGCCTGTCAGTGGCGCCAATTCAGATATTTCTTGGAAGGTGCAAATTCCGGTCCCTCTATCCAACCCCTTGGCAAGGGACCCCATTCCAGTCTCTCTTCATCCCCACCCTCCTCCTGCAGGAACCCCAAGTCTCCCTCAGCTGGTGAGCCTGCCTCCCTCACACTACATGAGCTGGTTCTGACAAGAGTCAAGTTCTCGGCAGACTCCCCTGCACTCTGCTGTATATGAACAGACTTCGCATGTGCCGGTCACAGTACCGATTGGGCTGGCCACCCCTCCGCACCCGGGCCAAATTTGAGTAGTATTGCAACCACACAGCCAGACTGCACTAGCAGCAGCCATACTGATTTAGAATGGGATCACTGCTTAAAAGTGATCAGGCCATGGGCCCCGCAGCTCCACAACCTATGCAACTTTGAGCAATTGAAAAATCCTTGGAGAGAGGTTCATTCCCCTCCAGCCTCCCCTCCCACCCCCCAAACTGGTGCCACTGCAACCTACACAGACAGACTCGCACTAGCTCTGCTTGAGCTAGCACGGTAAGAATAGCAGTGTGGCTGTTGCAGAATGGGTGGCAGCTCAGGCTGGCCAGCCAAGCTCAGACCCAGAGGGACATGAGTAGTTAGCCTGAGCCGCCACTAGTGCCACAGCACCACACTGCTATTTTTAGAATGCTAGCACAAGTCTGTCTACCTGGGCTGGGAGAGACACTCCCCGCTGCGGTGTAAACATACCTATTCTGACCCTTACTGTTCAAAGTGGTTCAGGTGCTGCCCAAGGACAGCAGGCTTGACTCATTAAGGCTACATGCTCTGGCATTGTCTCTTCGTGAACCTTAAGTGTAAGCTGTCAGGTGACTATGAGAAAAGACCTCCTCCCTCTTTCTCTAGGTGGACAGGCCCTGCTACACAGTCAGACGCTGAGGCTGAAATATCCATTCTGTTATATGGCACAGAAACCCCACGCTAGTGGCAGATTCAGATACAATATTAATCATTATCAATAAACACCCCCACATTTGTCACATCTACATCTTATTCTCTTTACCTGTTGGACCAAATTCTGTCCTTCCCTGTAATGATGTAAATTGAAAGTGACTCCACTGAAGCTAATAAACTGGTTTAAATCTGGAAAAAATTCTATCTAAGGCTACCCCTAAAAATTAGATTGACCTAGGTACATCACTCAGGGCTTGAAAAATGTCACTCTCTGTTCAACATACTTAGGTCAATCTAACCCCCACTGTAGATGCAGCTAGATCAGTGGAATAATTATTTGTGTCAATTTAGCTACCGCCTCATGAGGTGGCGGTTTAATTACATTGATGGAAAAACCCCTTCCGTCAATGTAAGAAGCATTTACACTACAGCACTGCAATGGTACAGCTGCAGCGGCATAACTGTGCCACTGTAGTGTAGACTAGAATCTAACTTAGTTCACTCTGCTTATCCTCTCCTGACTGTTACTTCTTTGTCTGCTGTAGGATATGGTATAATGCTGACATCCCCTTTGGCAAGACCTCTTCTTTCTTCCATAGGTTCTCTGGCAATGAAAATCTGCAGGCAGGATTCTTTAGCAATCAAACTTAGCAACAGGCCCTCCAAACGAGAGCTGGAGGAAAAGAACATCCTCCCAAAGCAGACTGATGAGGAGAGACTTGAACTGAGGCAGCAGATTGGAACAAAGCTAACAAGGTAAGACCCAAACACTTTTCTAATGTTTACCATCAAGCAATGGGTTGCTGGGAGAGTGAACTGCAAGATACAACTTTTATCCTTGGGCTGTGGAGATTTAAGGTCCTCTATTCGCAATGCTCTATATGTGAGAAGTCACCCAACAGGCTGAAGAAAACCCACAGCTCTAGGCTTTGCCTCTGCTTCAGTATAATTTCCCATACACAGCCCTCTCGCCCTCAGGGGTCCTTTACTACAGAAGGGCCCGTGGAAATGTGCTTTCTACATTGGTGCTCATTTTCTACTCCCAAATGAAAAGGTGCAGCTTTGGGGATATTCTTGGCTGTAGCATGTGGAACCCTCTTTATATACCCTTTTGTGAAACCATTGGTGTTACTAAATGACTGATATGAAGCCCCCTCCTGACTGAGTTACCTTTGGAGCAGCTAAATATATTCCTATCCAGTAACACTCGTACCTATCACACACAACCTGATTTGGGTGGGTCAGGCTTGAGCAGGGTTTCTCCTTTTGAAGACTCATTCATCTCTCTAATCTTATTCCTTTCCACTTGATCTTATTTTTGCCATGATAGATGTGGGCTAGGGTAGAGAGGTGATTGATAAACATGAAGGATAGAATTTATTACCTCACTTCCTCTCAGCAATTAGTTGCATTCAGAATATTTAGCATTCCTGGGCTAAATATGTAAGATGTTCAAGTGCTTTTCCAAGCACTTTTTACCTGTGCTTTCTATATTAAATCTAATGCTCCAACTAGCCTGTGGGATCTGGCAGCAGTATTATGCAGAAGTAGGCAGTAGTAATGCTTTATGAATGAAAATTTTCAACTCTACAGCTCGCTTAGTAGCTTGGCATAGTGTATTTGCATAAAAAGATCCAAATTGATACTGAGCTAAAAATAGAAGTGTCAGGAAGAGAAGGAGAAGTGTGTATCTATATGCAACATCTGCTTTATCACATACAGTATTCGGGAGTTTCCCTCAGTGAACCCTGTGTTATTGCTACACGTCAGATTATTTCTACCGAGTGACTCTTAACTTGCATATAGGAACATAGGATGCCATGTTGAATCTGACCAAGGCTCACCTAATTCAGTATCCTGTTTCTGACAATGGTCCACACCAAATGCTTCAGAGAAAGCTACATGAAACCTTGCAGTAAGCAGCTGTAAAATTATTTGCCTCCCCGCATTAGGTATCCTTATAATCCCTATTAGAGATTGGCTTAAACCCTGAAGTATGTGGTTAAATATCTCTCCAGAATGTATATTAATATTAACCCCTACAACTTAGAATAATCTGTTTTTATATATAATATATTATGCCCAATCACTTTTTGAATGTTGCTATGTTTTTGGCCTCAACAACATCCTATGGTCATGAGTTCCACAGATTAATTACATGCTGTGTGAAAAAATATTTCCTTTTATTGGTTTGGAATTTGCCACCATTTAATTTTAATGAATGTTGTTTTGTTGTTGTGTTATCAGACAGGGAGAATAGAAGCTTCTAATGTACCTTCTCTATTTCATTCATTATTTATATACTTATTCCATGTCCCCTCTTACTCATCTCCTTTGGAAGGTAAACAATTCCAGTCTTTTCAATCTCTCTTTATGCCCCTAATCAGTTTTGACACCGTTCTCTGAAATCCCTCTAATTCTGTCATATCTTTGTTGTGATGGGTGAGCAGTATTGCTCACAGTATTCCAGACGAAGCTGCACCATTAAATTATATCCTGGTATTATAATATTTTCCACATTTATTCTCCATCCTACTCCTTATTCATCATAACTTCTTTTTTGACTGCAGCTACACACTGAGTTGAGGTCTTCAATGAGGTGTCCAGAGTGGCACCCAGATCCTTTTTCTTAGTTGATACAGTTACTTTAGAGCCCTGTAAGGTATCTGAGTGGCTTAATTTTTCCTTCCCCAACGTGTATTACTTTGAATTTGTTGATATTGAACTTCATTTGCCATCATGTTGCCCATTCACCTAGATTGGTTAGGTCCTTCTGAAGTTTTACACTCCTCTCTGGACTTCTATAATGTAAATAAGTTTGTGTCATCTGCAACTTTTACCACCTCATTGCTCATTCCCCTTTCCAGATGATTAATACATATATTAAACAACACTGCTCCAACTGATTTAATGTCCCTGTGGGAACAAGGTGTTTCTGCAGTTTGATTTTCAACTAGGTAAACCAATTTTGATAATAACTGGAGCATTTCTTAGTTAGGCCTCATGTTCTCACAACATCACTGTCTTTTTCTCCAGTGCACTCATCTTACTATTGTGCTCCTTTACTGTCGGAGGTACGAAACTGGATATTATCTTCTAATGTAGCTATGGATTAGATAGTGAAAATCCTAAAAGTTTAGAATGATAAAATATCTGAGCTGAGAAAAATACAGGACCTTATTCATCACTGCATTACTCTAGTTTTATACCAGTGTAACTTTATTGAAGTTCATGGAGTCACAATAGTAGTAACATAGTGATGAATCAGGCTCTGTGACAACTGGAATTTAGAGTTTTGCATCTCCTTCTGCTGAGTAGAGTTAGAAGTAGAGTTAAGAAACTTGGGGAGAAAGATACTTCCTTAGCCAGGCTCCAAATACGATAAGTCACAAATGCTGCAAAACAAGACAGGGTTACAGGTCTTGGCAGTAAAATCCTAGAATGTGTCTTCTGTCTAAATACAAAATATCAGAGTATAAATCCAGGCTGTCTATGGCTAGCCTGTAGGCTGATAGATATTATATTTATTTGGCTGGAAATGTCTCGAGTTTGGTGTGCAAAAATGTGCCATTTCCATGGCTTGCAGAATAAGTTTCAGAAAACTCAAGTCGATTTTTTTCTGTTGTGTAAATAACATTTCAAAACCTCATTACTGCATCCATACTTTATTGTCACATAATGATGCAAATCTCAAGCAAAATTAAAGGTGTACAGGATTTAAAGTCCTCGGGGAAGAACTGAGATTCAGACTATGATTGCAGTTGGCAAGTTTAATAATATTTCTGAGGAATTTGTACCATTCCAGCAATGGGTCCCAAAGGTTTGAAATAACCAGCCAATTAAATTACATACATTATTTGCAGAAGAAATATAAAATACAGAATAAAAACTTCAGCAGATAGTTACCATTGTCAGCAATGAACGGGATCAATTCATTTTCACTAGAACACTGATTAGGACCCTTAAGTGTTTACATGCATTCTTCACTATGCTTAGTTAAGGAGAGATCATTAGCTGCAGTATTTGGCAGATCAGAATTTAGATCTAAAAAGAGTGTGTTATTTAAAAAAGAAGCTTATGGGTAGGCATGCTAAGATTTCGATCTCTGACCTACTGCACAGGGTCAAATTTATCCCTGTGTAATTCCACTGACTCAGAAGTGTCTGTTCATATTGTATTTAAATGTTGCTAGAAACAACTAAATCTCAAATCATTCTCAGAAAAAGCTTGTGACTCTATTATTGTGTCTACCAACTCGTAGCCAGATACCACAGCACATTTAATAAATTATCAAAGTTCACCAGCGGGATCAGTTCTGGGCTGCAGAGCATATCCCACAGCAGAATTTGGCCTACAGTATGCTCTTTGAATCTTAGCATCGCCACGATGCAACGCAGGATCTTCACGGTCTATAATAACAACACTCAACACGTTTATAGCGCTTCACACAAGTAGTAAGTATCATTATTCCCATTTTACAGATCAGGAAACTGAGGTTCAGAGAAGTAAAGTGACTGGCCCAAGACCACAAAATGAGTCTGTGCCAAGCAGGAAGAAAACCCAGGTCTCTTGAATCCCAGTCACATGCATTGGCCATGGGACCATGCGCTATGACCCATCAATTCAGAAGCAGCAATGCCAGCAAGTGGCTATGTGGAATCCTTCCTGTGGCCAAATTTGAAGGAGCTGTTCCAAGATGTTGGTTTCTAGTAGTGAAACAAGATACTGTCCTTCGGTTTGTAACACTCATGAGATGAGGGTAGGAGTTGAACACTGTAGACCAGTTCCTCGGCTGCTGTACATCATCATATTTCCATTGACTCCCATGGAGCTATGCTGGATTACACCAGTTGAGGATGTGGCACTTTAAACAAATCTTTTTTTAAAACTGTGTATTTCAAAATTTGTATTTGGAAACTTCTTTATTATGCATGCTCACCTGCTCACCTACACCTCCTATTGTTTGTGTTTTCTGGTCCCTCCTCGACCCCCCCCCCAGCTGCACAATAAGGCAGAGATGTGCAATGTAAGTGACGTTGGGCCAGAATATGGTAATTTAAGCAAAATTGGGACCTTAGAGTTGTCACAGTTACTGGTTGAACTGCACCTCTGGCCCCTCCTGGTTTCTTTGAGTGCACCCCCGCTCAGCTCTCAGGCCTCTAATCAACACCTGGCTCCAGATGGAATCACACCGTTCTCCCACACTCAGACGGAGCCCTGGGTTGCAGTCCCCCATACTAACGTGGATTATTTTAGCAGGCCTCACTTAGGTTTAGATCCTACAACTCAGTTCCCCTCTGGTGCAATGACAGTGGCAATTAGTGACCAAACAGCTTCCTTAGTACCATTTTTTTAAAGCAGAAATTTCAGAGAAAACATATCTTCAAAACAGTACCAGACTATGCATCTCTAGCTTTTCCCGAGGAGTTACCATTCCCTGGATCTGGGGAGGCCCAGTTTCTTTAGACTCCCTCCACAAAGTCTCTTTCTGAGTTGGCCTGTCTCCCTAGATAGATGCAGACAAGTAACTCCTCTGGTCCCCCGGAGAAAGGCTTTTTAACTTTTTAGTGTTCTTTTCAGCTCTAGCCTCCTAGCTTTGACAAAATAAGGCTTGCAACTTACCAGAGATCAGACACAGGAATCTTGATGCTAATAGTGTGACCCATTGTCTTTCAAGTGTGTGTTGAGGTGTCTTTATCTAGATATATTGTGTTGCTATCCTGTTTGCTATTCCAACAGCCCCGTGTTAAAATAGA